AAAGAATTTTTAGTTTTGTATTAGGTACCTTAAAACAATAAATAAGATATTGCAAACTGTATTTTACATTATTTTGTATTTATAATGTAATTTATCCATATTTCAGTCATGTATCTGTCAAATACTAAGAAATATGCAAAACTTTAATAAAGGATCAGCTGGGATTTTGATAAATACATTTTTGTTTTACCAAAAGAGTTTAATCAGATTATGCTATCAGTTTTTAGACAATGAAAATATTTGGATGGGTCAAGTATGATTTCCACAAAGGAAGACAACCTTTAAAACATAGCATATGGCATTAGGTTACTTAGAACGTAAACAATTTAATCCCCCAATCAATTCGCTTGATTATTTATCGAACATTACGTATTTACCCATTATAAACAGTTGTAGCTAATAAATGTTTCTCACACTACTCAAATTAAATTTCCATGGCGGCATTAAAGCGTCGCGACGCCCCTGCTGGTGCTTTTGTTGTCGGTTATTTAATATTTCTTGGGCGGTTAAAACGATTCTGTGTCCATAAAGGGGGACAGGGGGGATAAAACAGCCAGTAAAGTGCCTCGAGAGTCCCATTGTCTGCCGCTAATTGATAGTCCCCCCTTGATGGTCCAAATTCGCCAACTCGATATGCAAGAGGTAATTTAATCGGTATAATAAATGGTTATCTGTCATTTTAAACTGACGATTTCAGAAGTATAAGGACTTTTAATATACATGGGGTGTTAAAATACTTACCTACAGTTCTTTTTTTTATTTGGACTCTTATGCCAGTTTGATTTAGTTTTTTTAGTATATAAAATATGGTACTTCTGCTGAAGACCTAAATTAAATACTATGACACTGTCAAAGTGACAGTAATATTTATTATTAATAATTTACTTGTTAATTATTATACAATATCGATATAAAAAGATAACTGCCAAAAATAATATTAGATTCTAAAGTAAAAGAACTTTTAAGGGCAAAACCACAATCCACACAACAAGGTCTGTTCTATCTCGTACTAAAAATACAAAAAATCACTGCAACACTGCACAGTTTAACGGCGGCCATTTTTGTTGTTTACAATGTTTGTGCTTTGGGTTTGTGCTCTGTTTATACAGATTAATAATCGTTTTAAACGTTGTGTTTCTTATAGTAAGCCTTAAAAGAGTCCTTAAAGTGCTAAGAACAACCACTTTACTCCTCTATTGTAAAAAAATAAACTTTATTCTATCAGGGCTGTCATAAAACCGTCAAATGTCAATTTTAAGGTTAAATTATAACCCACAAATTAACCTTCAAATTGTCATTTGACAGCCCTGATAGAATAAGGTATATTTATTATAAAAGAGGAGTAAAATGGTTGTCCTTAGCACTTAAAGGCCTTATTTGAGGCTTACAAGTGCCTCTGTAAGAAACACAACGTTTAAAACAATTATTAAGCAGCACAAACCCAAAGCACAAGAATAATTCTTGTGCTTTGGGTTTGTGCTGTTTAATAATTGTTTTAAATTATTGTAAACAACAAAAATGGCCGCCGTTAAACTCTGTGCAGTGTTGCAGTGATTTTTAGTATTTTGAGCATTGTTGTGTGGATTGTGTCCACAATTACATTTTAATTACATTTATAACTGGTTTAGTTTATTTTAATCAATGCTACCAATTTTGATTCCGTATTTACCAACCAAAACCCTAAATTTGCAACGTTGCCGCAGTCCATATAAAAAAAATAACTTTAGATGACAGTATTTGAACAGATAAACTTAAAATAAATTTTAAATGTGTTAAACAGATACCTGTAGTATAGTACCTAGCTGTTAAATTTATAAAAATAGTTTTATAATTATATCAAGAAAGGCAAACATTTTAAGTAATTTTTGCTCATTTTAATATTATCTAACAGAATCTAGTTTCGAATTTTAACTGTTAATTATTGTCTATGGTGTGATATCAACGGACAATTTTATGGGATTCCCAGGGGGTATTTTCATTGTAACGGGTGCGACACTAAAACTGGATTTTTTCATGATAATAAAGTGTTTATTCATATATATCAAGATACGTTAATATAAAAAAATAGTATGAAAAATTAGGTATTTAAATCAAACAAAATGTCAATAAAAACTTGTGTAGAATAGTATATTCTGTAACAAGTTTATACAGCATATTCTGCTCGAGTGAAGAGTTTGTCACACGAGCCGAAGGCGAGTTTGACGGTTTCACGAGAGCGGAATATGCAATTCCAAACGTGTTTCAGACTATACTTTTTCTACGTTTCCAAAAAATACCATAAAAAAGTCATTTGAATGGAAAAAAGTGAGGTTGGATCGGTCTAAAATTTGTTAGATATTAAAAACAGAGATGTCGCCACGAGTGTTTATTCTGTCATAGGATGATAGAATATTTCATTCTGTAACACTTTACGGAATATATGTCATTCCATAGATAAAAGTGATAATAGATCGGTCAAATTCCGTAATAGGAGTAGAAAAAACCTTTTATACGTCATGAATAGCGTAACGGGCGCGACCTTAGAAAATCGGCAAATGCGACCAAGTTGGCTTCTAAAGTTGATACTGTAAAATTTTGGATGATAATAATTTTTTGAGTAAAACTTGAATAGTAACCTTGAACAAGCACGTATTTTAAATGCACAAAAATTGCATACTTTATTTTCTATAATTTTCTCAAATTGTAACGGGTGCGACATTTGAACATTTTATCGAATATTGAAACTCTTCCGTGTTTATTCTTAATGTTAGCTTCTTAGCATCACAATGTACGAATATTTTAAGGTTATATTTTACGTCACAATTAAACTATTTGATTTTCTAAGGTTTTTGTAGTTCATTTTTAGCAAGGTTAATTTATTAATTGATTAGAATTAATAAACTATTTGACTTTAGATGTAATTGGTGTATTGTTAAATAACACATCTGATTTTTTGTTAAGGTGGGGTAAGGTTGCGGAGTTGCTTTTATACTTAATGCATAAATAGCGATAGGTACCAACTTGCAAAAACAAAATTTACTTTCTCATTTTATTACATTTGATTTAAGAAACAGCCAATTTTTAATAGTAACGCTTTTCGCTTTTGGCAGTTGCAGTGACATTTCTTTATGCAGTGTTACAAAATCCTCTACAAAGAAAAAAATACTAAAAAATGTATGGAAACCAAAAATAAAAGCAAAATAAAGCAACAGAAAAAGCGAAAGTCTAAAGAGAAGAGCAAACTAATATGGAATCACCCAGTAATTACGAGAAACATTATTCCACTTAAAAAAAGTGATTTGTAAATAAAAAGCAATTTATCTAAACCAATTTTATTACCAAAATAAAGAAAAATTTCTAGAAAACAGATTACAAAAAATGTGAATTTTTCTAAAAATATATTTATAAACTTTACTAATAAACTACTAAAACTACTTCTACTAGTTGCTCTGCGTTGCCGGGTTGTTTTAACAGGCTCTAATCCATTTTTTAACCGTATCCCTTAAGTTCTCAGTTGTATTTAGATCCGGTGAACAAGGAGGCCACTTTAAGTCACACCAAGATAGTTGGATTGGTTTTTTCTAATTAGTTTGTTTAAGTCAATTTTATATAATTTTTTGGAAACAGTAAGATTTTAATTTCACCATTTGCACAATATTGCCAAGAAAAGAGTTGCAATCTGTTGTTAAAAATATTTCAAAAATAAATGTTACTCTTTTGTACAATTTTTTAAATAATTCATATAAATATAGTATAACTTTGAGTTAGAATATAAATTTTACAATATTGGACAATTAGTTCGGGTGTGAAGCATCACACCACCTAAGATAACCAATTAAATGATTTCCCGCTTGAAATAAGACGCCGGCCGGTCGCTCAACTGCAATCTGCATCATCAGTTTGCAGTTTTAGTTTGTGTTAGGAAGTGTATCATTGTGAGGTTAGTACCACATTTCTGGTGATTAATTATTGAATATTATTTTTCCGAATAGGTAGGTAGGTATTTGGAAAATTGTTCAAGGATTGGGATAAATCAATAATTATGACCTGGTGATCAAATGAGGATAAAAAGTGTTTCTATCTTCCTACTGTGCTACATTATTGATTTGCTTACTATTTACTTTAGTTTGTAATGAATATTTATTTTATTTTTGAGTTTTTATTAACTTAATTTTATCCTTACGAAATCTTTGTGTTGGTCGCTGAATACATATTTAATCTATCGACATTTGTCAGTTTATATTAAGTTTAAGTATTCTATTTTCCATATTTTTAGTGTTGTTGATCAAATTCATATACAATTATGAAACCAAATCCAACAAATTTTTCTCTGTGTAGTAGTAGGTAAGCTCTAATACTTGTTTGCATTTCATAACTATTTCTTTCTAAATTTCAATTAACCTATTCAAATAGACATCGGTACGCCACTGGCGTTTGAAATCGCAATTTCCCCTCGCCAAAGCGGGCAGGTAAACACGGAAATCGTTTATTATCGCAACAATAGAGTAAAAGAGCGAATAAAAGCGCTCTTAAAGCGCGCGGTGGTGGGGATCAAGCAGCATCACTTCAAAAGATTTGTTCTCGCGCACAAACGCTCCGGCCAATCGCAACACCCCATTGCCAACACCTTCTTGATGGGACGGAACGTAATTTTAACAATAACATAACGAGGTCCCATTAGATTTATTAACACCTCTGCCAGAATAGGAATTGTAGAAACATATACTTACAGGGTATATCAGTACAATATTTCTTTAGTTTTAAATGTTTTTTTTATCTTACCAGTATTTTGAAAAGCTGTATGGCACAAAAATATAGAATGCGAATGGCACCTTGCGAGCTTTTTTCAACGAAAATCTATGATGATTTCGCTGAAATTCAGCTCCCACAGTAAATCACTTTCAATGCTAAGTAGGAATAACTTTGATAGGCGGTTTTGTCCCATCGTAGTTCTTAGCCTATTTTTAATAATTTTATTTTTGAAAATGAACGCTCTCCAGTGCAATATGACATCATCAAAATCAAGCACATTCGCAGTGTGATTTTGATGTTTGGGAATGTAGCTCTGAAATTTTGATTTTCAAGAATTTGATAATAGAACAGCTACTTAGATAGGTCTTTTTATAGTCTGTTTTGTATAAGTTCATCAAAGATACAAATTGAACCAACTCAATACTAAGACTAGGTTCTAAATCGTCTTCGTAAACTTCTACCAATTCAGCATACAAATTTGCGGCATCCATCTCCTCTAAATGATTAAGAAATCCAAATTTCGAACGTACATCATCGTATGCATGCAATCTTTCAGTAAGAGAATCACATAGCTGATCCATCACTGGGATAAAGCCTGACACTTTAAATTTATCTTTTGGTGACAAGTTAGCATCTTGTGCTTTCATATAATCGAGCGGATCCAACCTCACATTTCTAGTACTGGTGCGAGATTGTACGTACTGGTCAGTACTTGGTATTCCTTTAGCAGCTTCTTCGTATTTGTCAAACTCGTCTCTTTTGGATTCAACAAATAATTTCAGTGATTTCAATGTATGCATTGCGGACTCAAGAGTCATCTTCGGGTCCCGCAAGATCTTGTTTGTAGCGTAAAATGGCTCCAAAGATGGCAAATAGAGCGGTTTCGAGACAACTTATCTTCTCCAAAAGATGCGTTGTTTCAATTTTGATGATCTCTTTTTGCTCCTTATCACAAGATATGCTGGTAAGAGCTTCTTTGATTTCAGAATAATCGCCGGCAATAGCTTTCGTAGCTTCAGCTTGACAAGACCAGAGTGTATTGCTAAGCCTTTTCAATACGTAAAACTGTTTGTTTGTTTTTTCCGATAATTTTTCACTTAGAATTTGGTATCTTTCTGTACTTACTGTGAAAAATGTATATAAATTATGAACGAAATCAAAGAACTGAACAGCCGATGTTTAAGCATTAGCAGCAGCCTTTCCAACTAAATTAAGAGAATGACCACAACATGGTACAAACACTGATAAAGGATTTTTCTCCAAAATCAAAGCTTGCATGCCTTTGTATTTGCTGCTCATATTTGCAGCATTATCGTATGATTGGCCGCGATAATCGATAATGTAATTTTGATAATTGCCTAACAATTTTAGTAAAGCGTTTGCTGTGGCTTCACCATTATGGCCACAGTTTGATAAAAAGTTCAGAAATGCCATCCCTTAAATCATTTAGTAACATACATGTATTTAAAAAGTTACAAATGCACACATTAAGTCAAACAGGTTATATAGGTTTAGTTGAGTAAACTCAACGGTCCTGTAGTAGATATTTGGGGTAAATCTGCCCTTTTTATCATGTTAAAACATTATAAGATTATACCGAGCATAAGAGCTTTTAGTTCTGATTTATTTTTGCTGAAACGCCTGTCGAGATTTTAGTAGAAAACAGGGGCGGTAATAAGAGTTTTACAGGTGTTCTTGGCATACACATTCACACTCTAGATACGAGGAGGGTGCAACAACTTTTAGGTACCTACGCAAAATTGTTTCTGTTGAATACGAGGCTTATTCTTTATAAAAATGTTTGTAAAATTACTACATTTTTACTGTTGTATTGTATTGCAATTTTAATACGCATTTGTTGTAATATTACATTTTGTTATAGTTAAGGTACTAAACAGGTTCCAATTTAACAATGTTTTTGTTTTTGTCAGATACTTATAGTAATTTTTCAATTGTAGAATTGAATTTGAAATTTTGTAACATTTTTATACATATTCGGAATTTAATTTTACTAAGATAATCAACAAAATTACTAACCAAAATTTGCTATTTGAATTACAATAAGTGTTTGGAAATATACAAATCATTATTTATTTTATACAACTTCTGTTTGCATTTTTATTATATATCATTTTAATCATGTACACTGTTAACATTTTTTGTAAAATTACAATTGTTTTGCAAAACAAAGAATGAGTAAAACTACAAATCAGTTATTACAAAATTATAATACAATTTGAGTAATATTCCAAGACATGTTGGGAAATCTACTAAGATAAGTTGTAATTTTACAATCTACCTATATGTATAAATCCTACACGCATTGTAATTTTACCAAACAGTTTGACAGTTTCTAATAAAAAGCATCTTAGATTTAGAAACGTTGTATATAATTTGATTATATAAAATGCATAATATGTACCGATTGCGGCAATCACGTGATGTTCTTACATCTCGCCTCGGTTGACTTAGGTGGACAGTATATAAGCTCAGGTGTCTTTCGTTTTTGGTGTGTTCCAATACACCAAATTGCCCGATATTGATAAGACCCAAAATAGGTCTATCTGTCTAGCTGTCTGTCGGTATTTAAAGTTGGTGGAACGCACAAAAACTCTGGCGAGGTGAAGGTTCAATTTTTTTAAATCTTTACAGTAATGGGTCAAGAAAGTTTCTTGAAGAAAATTGCAGGTTTTTTTCGTAGTATAATTACAATACTATCATTCGTAAATTACTAAATATTTTTAGTGTAATTTGTTGTACAAAATAACAATATTTGTATTGTAATATTCAGTTAAGTAAAATTGTAAAATATATTTTGTAATTTTCTTAAACTGAGTTGAAATGAATTGTATAGTACACCATTTAAAATTAATAAACATATTTAGTATTTTTTTAGCGTAAAACACCCTGTATAATAATAATAAAGTTATAGAAGTATAGTTAATCATACCTATTATTAATATTATATATTAAGTATGAAGGTACTGTTAGATGAACGACATAATTTTTATAGTTTAACTTATTTTCTGCTCTATGAATTGTTAAATTGTCCTTGTACTCACACAGTTAAAAACATTACATGAATCAGTTTGATAACAACTTTTGCTAAAGAACGAAGCAAAAATGTTCTCAACAAAATATGTTTTAATATTTTACCTAGTATTTCTTTCTGTAAAATCTAATAATATCATTGATGTGGATGATATTTTATCGGAAAATTTCATGCCCAGTTCCTTACTAGTTCTGGAAAATTCAGGCGACTCAGTGAATAATTTCAATAAAACTTTGGATGAAGTTTTGGAAAACAAGCCCAAGCTAGATGGGTCTTTCAATAGAGCTATGGAGACTATGGGATTTCATAGGTAAGATTATACATCATTTTGAAATAAATAGGTAGTTTTTTCACAAAAGAGAGGAAGGCAGAAGTCTTACTCGACAAATTTTGTTCAATTGCACAGCTAAATCTCACACGTTATTTGTGTTTTACGTTGCAAGGAAAAAATTAAAAAACTTTTTTAGTAGGTACACGATTTTGATTGATTATTCCTTATATCATTGATTAAGAAACTCAACGCTTAAATGCTTATATAGTTACGTTAGTGTGTGTATTTTATCTAAGTGATCATGGTGATTTATTGGGTTTTTAATTGTAAATAAAATTCAAGAACTAAATCGTTGCATTTTCATGTTTTGCCAAAGGATCCAATTCGGTAAGTACATTTGTTGGTGCAGAATTAACTAATGATAACTAACCTAATATAATTTATATTTAAGTTTGGACATTTTTAAGAAATTAGTAAAAAATAATTTTTGCACAAACATAACCTTAAAATCAACCATTTTTATATTTGAGTTCTCTAAAAAACGCCGACAACTGCATTTTAAACAACAAAATATACCTACGAATTCATGGCAACATAATATTATATATAATACATAATATAATGGTATTTTACAGTTGAGTGGAGACTTTCTTAATCATGCTAAATGCTGTTTAAATTTAGACGACCTATTTGTTTGACGATTTTTACTGAATTGATATGTTTAAACTTTTCACGTTATTCACTACTAAAATGTGTATTTATTGTATCTAATAGGTACAATTTATATTTACAGAGACTGCATGCAATTTATTTCTTCATTCAGATTATTGGAAAACCGATAAAAACTCAACCCAGGATTTCCTCTCGAAATACACCCAACAACACAACAAATCGAGCCACGGTTTTTTTTCTACATTTTTTAACATTTTCCGGTTTTACTCTCAAAAACACTCGTTTGTAAATAAGCGTTTGACAGTTGATTATAAAAAGTGGTACTTTTGTTACGATGATAACAGCCGAGTGGTGGCGCTACTACACTGTTTAAAATTTCATGACCATTTTAACACCAAATTAACACCATACATGGTCTATATCGATACAAACCAAAATGGTGTTAAATATGGTTCGTTGGTCCAGTGTAAATTCAAATACTAAAATGGTGTAAATTTAACTTTCACACAGTATTAAAATAAATTTTACCTGGTGTAAATTGAACTCCTTTTCAGTGTTAAATATAATGTTTTTTTGGCCAAATTAAATTATACTACACAGGAAAAAGAAAAAAAGGAAACAGGAAGTTCCTTGACGCATTACAAGTATATTAACAGTGGTATTATTCCAGAAAATTGAACCTTCAACTCGCTAGAGATAATGTTTTTAGTGCGTTCCACCAACTTAAAATACTTCAAATATTGACAGCTGTTTCCACATATTTAAGGTCTCTTTAGTATCGAACAACTTGTAGCAAAGGACTACCTGAGCTTATATACTCTTCACGTAAGTCAACAGAGGCGAGATTTAAGAACATCACGTGATCCACACCGCCTTTGCCGCGATCGGTACACACTATGCAACAAGGAATGCACGGCAAATTGTTTTAATCGTTTTAACAGAGTGCTTTAGGTTGAAGTAACTCTTATTTTACAAACAAAATATTTAGTAAACTGAACCATACAGCGGGTTGGTTTCACTAAAGTTTTCTGGGTTAATTTAACCAATTTAAAAAAAAATAAAATAACTCTCTGGTTTAGTACCGTCAAACTAATCTTTGTTTATATTAACCTTCCCACAGTTGATTTAAATAAATACTTATGGGTCAACTAAATTAATATAGTTAAATTAACTATTCCTTTTTTTCTGTGTAGATGCACTTCTCAAATATTTTTAGAAAAACACCGTTTTGGTGTTTGCTGTATATAACATTTTCAACCATAATTCATGGTGTTTATATTAACACCACTTGGTGTTGGATTTTGACACCATTTTAAGATTACTCTTCACACCACAGATATTTTAAACAGTGTAGCGATACTTTTTTAGCGTATTTTTTTAATATTAAGACAGCTAAATTTGAGATTTTTTTGTTGTAGAAATAAAATGAACGAATATTTGTGCAGAAGTTACGTGGCCGAACAAATTTTATCAGAGATGACTTTGGGGAAAATTAAACGAAGGATGGGGACCGATATTTTACTACCAGGCCCTTCAAAAGTACAACTGGCAGTTAAGAATGAGCTTTTGGAAGACGAGGGATCTTCAACATACAAAAACTGGTTGGAAAAGTAAGAAACAATTTTAACTTTTTTTACTTATTCTAACATTAATGGGGTAGTTAAATTTTTTCTGACCTATACTTTTTATGGTTTTATTCAAGGCGTTTTGTAATTTTAAACATTTCTGTGAAATCGGAATTTCAATTGAGTTTACCGTTTTCGAGATATTTACAAAAAAAAAATCTCCTAATTACGTCACTAGGCTAATGACAACGTTGCCAGCTTTTTCTATGGTTTAGTTTGTTTAGTTTAAGATTCTTACGATAGATGGCGTCACGTTATAATATTTTAGTTTTAAAACCACTTGATCTATAATTTTAGTTGAGAAGAAGAAGAAGAATTGATTTTTTGACGTTTCTTTTTTTCGGGTTATGTTTTTTTAAAATTTAGATTATTGAAAATCAATGTTATTGTTATGTTATTTATAATTGATATTAGATAAGTGATTTTAAATCACTGATTTATTAATAACGGACTCCAAAGCAGAGGAATCTTGTGGAATGGTTGGTTACATTGAACATTGGAGCTTTTAAACAAATAAAGTAAGTACCTATAATCATATAATCATATTTTGTCGTAAATGCATTTCATTAGTATAATGCCTAGTTCTTTATATTCTTTTAGATATATCTTGGACTCTAAAATATCAAACAGTAATATGATACCTCGTAATAAGGAAGATAGGTACTTAGTGAATTTGGTGACCATCTTTCACTCAACTGACAGTGACAGTATTTGTACATAACCTCTTCGGGTATTTTCTGACATAACCGAATGAAATCATTAACAAGACAACTTGACAACAGGGTAATTTTCAACCAATAGAAATCTTAGAATGTTGGTCACATGGCGAGGTGTGACGTCATAAAAATTTACATATCTCGATTGAAATTCTGATTTCACAGAAATGTTTAATATTACAAACGTCTTGAATAAAACCATAAAATGTATAGGTCAGAAAAAATTTAACTACCCCATTGTAGAAGTACCACTTTAGAAGACATTTACCGTCACTATGACCCACCTGATGCAACCAAACCCCCTGATTTAAACCGGGAAGATTTCGAGATAGAAGTGGAAGACGAGAAAGATGAAGAAGACGAAGAAGACGATGTAAATCAGTATGCCAACCTTAAAACCAAAAAACCTCCAAAGTTAAATCATAGAGGGCACAGCGGGGGCGGTGTAATGTACGGGGGTGGCAAGCCTTATTATGGGGGAGTGGGGGAGAGTTACCAACCTGGCGGGTACTCATACCCTAGTAATGAATATGGGGACGTTTATCATACTAGTGGAGCTGCAGGTCACAGTTGTAAGATGGACTTGTTTGTGGTTTTTATATTGTAAAATTCACAATACAAAATATTTTTAGTGGTTCACTCAGGTTATGGCGACGTTCATATAACCCCGGAACATCAGGAACAACACGTGATTCATCACAGACCAAAGTACAATCACAGCGACAAGGACCACGACTTATCAGATTTGTTCGAGATTGCTCTAACGGCACTCGCCTACTTATCTTTCGGCATGTTCGTTATACATGTCATTATGTGCATATCCATGACGGTAAGTAAATTACAACTGGTTAAATAGTACGCTGAATAATTGAGAGACGTTTGTAGGTAACTGTATATTAGGGTGTCCGTTATTTACCAACTGGTTTTTTTGTTCGCAGCGCCCCCTAAATTTTTAGTTTATGAGCTAAAACAATATTAAAAAAAATATAAAAAAAAATATTCTTATTAAACCTTGCCACAAAGACGATACATTTTCCATTTAAAGTTTTACATTTATTTTTTTTTCTCCCGAGCAAGTTAATATACAGCAATAGGTGATACATATTATCATAGGAAATTGGACGCTCTACAAAAAAGCTTTCCTATGGTTTTTCGATAAATTCACTGGTTTAATAGTTAAAGTGTTGAAAAGCGACTTTTTCACGCAAGTGTTGCTCACGAGGCCGTAATGCTGAGTGTGCATTAACACGAGCTTGAAGAAAGCTTTTCTCACATGTGAAACACAATATTTTTTCTACGACCCTTTTATTTTTTATTATTTTCAAATACAAAACAAAATAACCTAAAAACGTGTTTGACAGATGTTAAAATTACTTTCATCTTATTCTTTTAATTTTTAATAAGTTACTTAAAATCAATAAGCTTACCTTTTCAATTTAAATAAAGGCACTAAAAATTTGAATTTAGTATACAATACAAAATTAACTAAATGATATAATAATAATAATAATAATAATAATAATAATAATAATAATAATAATAATAATACCGTTTATTTGTTCAAAAAATACCATAATACAATAGTGTAGAACATGTCAAAAAAAAGAGAAATTAATTAATACAAAATCATTCATAAAATAAAGTGTAAATATACCTACATAACAACAAAAAAAAAACAATAAAGAAATTGTATTAAACAAAAACATGTGTTATTGTTTGTTTGGGTCGGCCTTGACATTCCATAAATCAAAAGATTGAATTTGTCGGTCATTCATGAATTCTTCAGTGTGATAATAACATTTCTTCGACAATACAAGTCTCAGACGATTCTTTAATTTTTTGAGTGGAAGTTCTCTTACGATAGCAGGTAAGTGGTTATATATTTTTACTAAAAATTTGGGGGGCGCTGAACAAAAAAAAACAAGTTTGTAAATAACGGGCACCCTACTGTATATATTAATCGTTTACTTTGACACAAGATTTTTATTTTTAAATTATGATATTTACTATAGTTTTAGATAAAATTTTTATAAACATTTTATATAATTTTTCCAATTATGAAAAGAATAATTTCATGAACATTAAAAAAAACAGAAATATTTAACTAAAGAAAATCTTAAAAAAAAACGGTAGTATTTAGCACATTTATTGTAATAAATTAATTAATTAAAAAAAGGTAGTGTACTTTTAAAGTATATTTAAGTATAAATAGTGTGATTTTTTAGACAACCGGTACTACCACTACAGCAACTGCGATGATGATGCCGATGAGCATGAGTCCAACTGCAACGGGTACCGGTACCGGTACCGGAACAGCAACCGGAACAGGTGGAGGTGGAGGTACGACTATGACAGATGGCGGCACCACTGGTACAGGTGAGGGAACAGACATGGGTACTGCTGCAGGTTCCGACGGTGGTACCACCGGTGGAATGGATATGGGTACCGCTGGAGGATCCGATGGTGGTACCACTGGTGGTACCGCTGGAGGTTCCGATGGTGGTACCACTGGTGGTACTGCCGGAGGTTCCGATGGTGGTACCACTGGTACCGGTGAAGGTGCCGACGGCGGTACCGATGCGGGTTCCACTGGAACCGGTGGTGGTTCTAATGGTTCCGATGCTGGTGGTGGTACCACTGGTACCGGTGACGGCATGGATGGTGGTACCGGTGGTGGCACCACTGGTATGGACGCTGGAACCGGCGGTGGTACTGGTGGTGGTACCACTGGTACCGGTGACGGCATGGATGCTGGTACCGGTGGTGGTACCACTGGTATGGATGCTGGTACCGGCGGTGGTTCCGACGGTGGTTCCACCGGTACCGGTGGTGGTACCGATGGTACGGGGGACGGTATGGATGCTGGTACAGGTGGTGGGACGGATGGTAGTACTGGTAGTGATGGTACCGGTACCGGTCGTGGTACCACTGGAGGAGATGGTGGAGGGGCAGGTATGGATGTTTATTTACCAGTTTTGCATGTTTTTTCTCAATATATTATTTTTTTAGAATTTGGGTTTTTTATTCTTGTTTAGGATGGTTCATAATAATAAAAGGGTTTTGAAAAAATTATAGTAATATTTTGAAAAAAAAATTATAATTTTTTATTAAAAAACAGTCACGGTGTCCCTGAATAACTTTTAATTGAAAGGTTCAGACGTATCCGATTTTTTTTCATATTTTGATAAAAAATTACCTCCAAGATTTTTAATCAATTTTTTGAGAATTTTAATTACCTAGTGAACTCCAAATAATGACTAACAGCTTTTAATGTATTTGTTACATAAAATGTGCAATTCATTAGACTAGTGAACTATTGACATATGTCACTTATCACATGTCACATGTCGAAATCGTGATTGAAAATACCGTTGCGTTATTTTACCCTATTTTTTTCAATTTGTCGCAGATTTATTTATAAGTTAGATATAAATAAGGGTTTTCCATTTAAAGTGTCATAACTTTAACCCTAAAAATAAGGCTGCTCTGGAATGTAAATGTCAAATCTTGCAAGTGATGTTTTATCAAAATATGAAAAAAAATCGGATACGTTTGAACCTTTCAATTAAAAGTTATTCAGGGACACCGTGCAGTACCTCTAATGCAAAAATGTTACTATCATCCTATCTTATTGATGTTATTTCAACACTTTTTGATGATTTCGCCATCATTATTTTGTCACTAAAACAATTTCAGATACAGGAGCAGGAACCGGAACCGGCACAACAGGAACCGGAACCGGAAAAGACTCATTCCAATTCAGACTTAAAAGAGACATTCCCACAATAACAAACCCAGACAACCATGCCTTAAACGAACTGGCTAGAAGAATCCTAACCTCAATAGAAGCAGCTCTAATAGCCAATAGCGATAATGGAGAATGTCTGAGAAAATCTCTATGCTATAACAATAAATATTCAAGGACTTTGAAGAACGATAACAAACTGTGGATACCTGTTTGGAGGTAAATTTCAGGTTAAAAATTAAAGGTTCAATCTTACTTTTACAACGAAATTTCAATATAGGCAACCATCTACACTCACAGGCAAAATAATCGATCCACACAAATTTTCGATGAATAATATACAGGTTTAAACAAAAAGATATTTTTTACCATAAGTTTAAGATACTCTGTAGAGTGGCAAAACCGTATATTGTTCTAAATTAAGTTTTATTTATCAAGTCACATCTATTCTTAACAGTTTTGTTTTTGGTTCACTTTGATATATTTATTTTTGTGAAAAATATGGATTTTTTTAAAAAAACATTGCAATTTCCAATATTTTTCCTGTATGAAGAACTAAGGTTGCTATGGTCCATCCATAGCCTACGGAGGATGACAGTGACAGTTTTGTTGAATCATCCCATACTTGGTCATGTCATATACAGCTTTCAAAAGCTATCAAATTGTTTTTTGTAAATTAATGTGTTAATTTTGAGGTGTCTTCTTACTTTTAAAAATGTCTCCCACTGACAGGGCCGAGCCTAGGGTATCTGCCGCCCGGGTGCAAGAATTAAATTTGCCGCCCCCATTAATGTAAAAAATTAGGTTGTCGGTAGAGAAGGAGTTCATTCTTAATAAACATATAACAAATTTTATAGTAAAATAACAAAGTATTGATTAACAAATACATAAAAGAATAAAATAAAAATACATTCAGGAAAAAAAAAACAAAAATAATTAAACTAAACTAAAAAACTAAAATCTACTTTTCTCGCTTTTTTAATAGCAAATTCCCTAATCAAGTCGCCTACATCCAAGTTGTTAGAAATATCTTCTTCAATACTTATAATTGCTAAATTTGAAAGCCTGAATTGACTCATATTGGATCTTAAATAGGTCTTAATTAGTTTTAATTTCGAAAATGACCGCTCTCCATGGGCATCGTCAAAAATATTCTTAAAGCTACAAATAAATTCGGAAAGATGCCTTTTAAATCATTAACTAGTTTTTAACTTAAACGCATTAAAAGACAAAAGAAACTACTATGTTTGCATCCTATTTGCCTCACGTTAATAGAAAAACTAAAAATTGCTGAAATACGTAGCCGTCAAATCGGAAGAAATTATGCTTTAACTTAACAGTTCAGCTTGTAAACAATATCACGTGGTACACAGCGCGCGATTTGATTGGTTTCCCGTAAGCCCGCTTCCGTAAAATATGAAACTTTACGAACTCGAAGCGGACGGACGGAAAGCGAAGCGGGCGGGCGGCAATCTATAAACCGGGCTTTAAGAAAATTGTCATCATTATTTTTTGGGGCTATCGCGCGTTCGGTTGTCTTTTTTATCATTGCCGCCTGACAGCACAATTTTGGCATTGTTTTTATGTGTAGAATGAAAACGATGATTCCTTGAAACGCCGACATCAATAAAACGCAAGTGATTTTTAGAAAGTTTTTTGCATATTGCAAGGTGGCTTTTTTATTCTTAATAATATGATACAATTTTTTTGATGATATTTTGCCGCCCTGTGTTAGTGCCGCCCGGGTGCCATGCACCCCTTGCACCCCCGGCACGGCTCGGCCCTGCCCACTGATGTTGACCTTTGTTCTTTACTTCTTGTGACGTTTAAAACACTTGCCACGTAATACTGCGACCGTCCATCCTGGATTAAATTAATGGCTCTGGCAACATCAGTCGGAGACATATCCATTTTTTAAAGTAAGAAGACACCTTAATTTGCAAAAAACTATTTGATAGCTTTTGAAAGCCGTGTATGACATGTCCAAGTATGGGATGATTCAACAAAACTGTCACTGTCATCCTCCATAGGCTATGGGTGGACCATAGCAACCTTAGTTCTTCATACAGAAAAATATTGGAAATAGCAATGTTTTTTTAAAAAAATCCATATTTTCCACAAAAATAAATATATCGAGGTAAACCAAAAACAAAACTGTTAAGAATAGATGTGACTTAGATGTGATAAATAAAACTTAATTTAGAACAATATACGGTTTTGCCACTCTACAGAGTGTTTTAAACTTATGGTAAAAAACATCTTTTTGTTTAAACCTGTATATTATAAACGTACGTCTATTTTTTAGTAATTTTTTAAAATGTGAGCGATTGTCCATTAATTTATCTACAATATTCTTTAATATTTGTTTAAATTTGACATCAAATAAAAAAGTTATTTGCGATTGAAATTCATCGAAAATTTGTGTGGATCGATTATTTTGCCTGTGAGTGTATATATACTAAACATTTTTTTTTTAGTTTGGGTATGAGCTGGATGTCTGGAAGAGTTGTAAAAAATGTTACTTCAGCCACCTCAATGCTGGATAGTTTAAAAGCGTCTATTTTGGGTTTAGGAAAAGCAAATTGTGAAATACTTTACCAAAAATGCGAATTGCAAAATGAAAGAAGAAAAAGAAGACGTAGAAGACGTAAGAGGAATGCAAGGAAATAAACTAGTGAATAAAAATATGAATAAATGTTTAATAAAAAAAGCAAGTTTTATTTCACACTTTTAAGTAGATTTCTTCTTGCCCAAGTTATATATTTATTGATTTTTTAGTCTACGAAAAATAATTTCCTAGCTATGTTTTACAATGACAACCATAGATGTCGCTACTAAACAAAATATACGAATTTTTTACAGTTTTCTGTACATTTACTTTCAGTTTTACTCTAGGAATCTTCTTTATTGATTTTTTGAATTACCTACTTTGTTATGTAACATAAGGGCCTTAATAATCGTATCTGAATAAATTTATTTAAAATAACTTTATTCTAACGCGCGTCTCTAAATTGTAAAAGGTTTTTGTTAATTTTAGATTTATATTTAGTAGGGTAAACCACATAGTTATTGGACACTTAGGGAATATTATTTATTTAAAATTTATATATGCCGTTGTTTTAAAGATTTTAGTTTTTTTCTTAAAAATATATAAAAAGAATAGTTTGTTTGTTTAAACTTTATTTACGTTTACTTAAAAATAAGAATATTTTAATTTTTAATAATAGTTTTATAAAAACATGCAAAAAAGTATAGTAATTGGCCATTTTATATAGTGATTGGACACATGGACCATAGTTATTTTAGGTAATTTTTTTATTTCGTTTTTGTAAATATCATATAATTCATATATTTCTTTCTCGGATTCCTCATCCCTTTTCTGGATTCTGAAGGTAACTACTAATTCCTTCGTCTGACTTCAGAAATAATATGTTGCAAATTAATCATTAAGTGTGGTATCTCTAGTTCGGGTGGCATGTTAAAAGTATTTTCCGAATTTATTAATTTTGTTGCCATTAGTTCTTTATGTTCTTTATCATGTACTGTATTTAAATTACTGTTATTCTGCAAGATGTCCTGTGACGAAGAAATCACTATATTACTTACTCTCTAAAAATGAATTAGTCAAAAATGTCATAGCGAAAAAGCAGCCACTAATAATTCTCGTCAACAGCAATTTGTATCCAGGACATTTACCAGTCAATTCCTATGAAATATTATAATATGGAATTGACTATATCTCAAAAATTGCTTTTTATAGTTTTTGAGGGTCTTTTCGGATTCAGAGGATAATTTTACATAAGAATTGGCTGGTAAATGTCCAGGATATAAATAGAGTATGATATTGGACATATGTCCAATAATAGAAATTTAAATTTTTTACTAACCAGTAATTGGACACGGCCATTATAAAGTGTCTACTTTACCCTGAGAATTCTTATATAAATTTGTATTTGTATTTACAAACAATACATAAGATGTAATCTGATATTTACACAACATAAAAAATGTATACCATATGTACGATAAATTAGGTTCGCGCTATAGTAAATTTACTATAGTAAATTTTAATTAAAGTTGTGTATCTAGTTTTCCGTTTTGATTAAATATTGTTTATTAGGCGTATAAAGTTACCAAATTGTCAAAGACAACACGACGCAACTAAAATTTAATATTGAAATTTAAAATGCACACATTGTTTCTATCTATGAGCATAAATTTAAATTAATTTCGACCTTTTGTTTTGTTCAGTTATTATACATGTTTGGAAATGAATTTCATTTATATGATTGTAATCATATTTATCTATTTTGCGTTTATAATGACTTCATTATAACACCGCTTTCGGTGCTGTAATGAAATACTTTATCAAACTCAAAATTTTGATTTTACGAGGTGTGTTCAGAAAATAACGGGAATTGTTAAATTTCGCGGGTTCGGAGGGTCCGGTGGTCATAAAAGTTTCTTTATTATGTTGGTATACATGCCCCCGAAGTATGATAAAAACTTTAGCTGTTTTCATTGTTTACTTTGTCTGTGGCAGCCGCTAAGGTTAGACGTGTTTTATGAGCTCGACGATTTTTCGTTCGTTAAAAGAAATGGATCAAATAATTTGTATACAATTTTGCTTAAAAAATGAAATAAATTCTGTGAAATGTTAACAAAGGCCTATAGTGAGTCTGCTATAAGTAAAACAAGAGTTTACAAGTGGTATAAGAGTTTCCAGCGCATCGCTGAAAGAACTAAAGGCTATCCCAAAGATCGAGTTTTAGAAGTGTTTCGAGTATTGGAAGAAGAGCTGACACATGTGCATAATATCAAATGGGGACTATTTTGAAGGCGACAACATTAATGTAGACGAATAAATAAATATTTGTTACAAAAAACGAAAATTCCCGATATTTTCTGAACACACCTCGTATAGGTTGGCTATACTTTAAGCAGCATAATATTTTGCATATTGGTTATAATATTTTTATGATTTTTCTGATACTCACAAGACTTTTCTGGCAATAAATTTTGTTTAACACCAAAGAAAATCCTTTTTTTCTTCTTTAACATTAACAGCCGCTTATTGTAAATAAGTAAATTAAGGACGGCATGGCGAACAGATTTTGACATTAACTGTCAAACCAATGACTGATACCAACTATCTAAAGTAAAATTCGACCAAATTAAATTTATGGCATACAATTATTTTTTTTAAAGAATTTTTGCAAAATAGATAAAATAGCATAAAGAACTCATGTCATAAGACCTTTTGTCAAATTGTCCCTGTGCGACAAAATGACGTCTTATGACATTAGTTCTTTAATATACTATTTTTAAACGATAAATAAAATGTTAAATTACAATAATAACTAAAAGCAAAAAGTGGGTTTAGATAGATCTGACAGAAGTCGAATTTTGTTATCGGTTCAAACGCCCTTTATCGTACATGTTTCCATGACACTAAGTGACACTAAATACACATTGACAAGTTGTGGCTTTATGGCGCTTTAGTCACGGGCTGAAGTTAGCAACAGGTTTTTAGTCACGGGCTAAAGTTAGTTTTAAGTTAGTTGACAGTTGTTATACAATCGTTAAAATAAAGTGCCTTTCTTGTAAAATAATACTAAATGTGAAAATTATTATATTATCTCAATACAAAAATACAAAAGTATTAAATAGTTTCTTAACGCCAATATTTGAAAAGTCTATATGAACATTGTACTGACCTTTTAATTTCGCCGGCAGTAAAATATAACTTAAATTCGGGCACGGACTCCAATGTAAAGTCAAAAATAGGGATCAACCTCGGAATCTAACGGAATAAGCTGAATTTTTGTGAAAACCTTTATTTTAGCATTACAAATGTTGTCTCAAAAGTCACATATGCCAACGTGTAAGCGGCCTTAGATATTCAAGGTCAAAGGTCGCAAAAATCAGTTTAAAAAAAACGGTATAATAGATTGGGATTCAGGATTTACCTTGCGCTAAAGGTACGTATAGCTAAGCGCTCCACACTCCCTCATCTCAAAAACGATTAGACGTATAAAAAAATGTTTTAAACAAAATTTGTAGAGAATTTTATTCTCTACAACTTGTATAATCCATGCAAATACGATAGGAGGCAGAGAAAAGGAGATATTCTCAAAAAATTGATTTTTGCGACCTTTGACCTTGAATATCTAAGGCCGCTCACACGTTGGCATATGTGACTTTTGAGACAACATTTGCAATGCTAAAATAAAGGTTTGTACAAAAATTCAGCTTATTCCGTTAGATTCCGAGGTGAAATGCCTAGATGACTGGACTAAGTGCTAATAAAACATTTTCTTTACTTTCATTGTGAAAAACTGTCAATTTTCAAGAAATACATTTCGATTTATAACCTTTATAATCTGTGTTTATAAAACACAAAAATTTGATATTTGACGGTGACAAGCAAATTCCCGTATTGTTTCATAGATGGCGCTCTATACAAATTTTTGATTTAAATCATTTTAAGATAATAATGAATAGGGATTTGTCGTAGAAAAAGTATGGTATGCACTTCGTTTATAAACTTTTCTATACACTCATTAATTTAAGCACTGGCGTTTATCAAACTTACATATATAATATACTATTACGAAAGTAGTAAATAATTAATTTTAGGGCCTATTCCATAAATAAGCTAAACCTAAGAACCTACCCAAAAGTATTTTATTTAAATGAGACATACAAAAATAAAACAACTTTAACAATCATTAAACACCTTTTTTCTTCCCTAAAATTATTAAACTTATAAAATACATTCAAAGCTATCTATCATTTCCCCTAATTAATTTTTTTCGACGCGATGAAGTGACTTTCATTTAAAAATCCGTGGAAAACATTCGAGGGTCGTTTGCCCTTTTCAGGACTGACCCGAAAATCCGGAAACTTTTATCTGCCATTAGTTTTTCACTGGCCATTTAATTTTGCAAAAGACGAAGTGTTTACACGGAACACAATATCGAGAAAATAATAAATCCAATAGTTATTGGTTGAGGAATTTGTGCTTAAAAGTACCCAAGATTTCTTAACTAATATTTAAGTTTCCTTTGGTTTAAGTTTTATACATTATTTTATTCGGTGATAATTATCAATTGCGCACCATGGTCACTTTTCACTTGCCAGCATTAAATCCATTAATTTAAAGGATTACTGTACTATTTTTAATCAAAATACCTCATTTAAGGCAAAAAAACCTTATTTTGTCAATTAATTAATTTAATCCTAATTGAGGTATAAAAAAATGGTATTTAGTTATAAATAATAATTATTATTAAGGTATAAAGAAATTATTTATAGTTTAGCATTATTTAATCTATAGTACAAATAAATAAATAGTCGGTTGGTTTGGTATACCTACCCTACCAACCAACCCATCACAATAAATAAAATGAAATATAATTTTTAAACTTTACCTACATATTACAAAATTATAATTTTTAATCTATTGTAACCTCCTATAATCGTTACCGTCAAGAAAATTGTATTGGTCAACATTATTTTTATTAAAGGACTTTATATTTCACACAAGCGGCATGTACAAAGTCAGCACCGCCTCGCGGCTTTGTCTAAATTATTAATTAGTTGAAGCTTATCTAAGTTAAGTAAAACTAGTGTCAATAAATAGGAATTAATTTTTTTTAATATGGAAAAGAAAGCTAGAC